AAAAAAAAAAAAAAAAAAAAGTGCCGCGATTTAATAAGTGTGCAGGCCATGCGAGGAGAAAAGATTTTCGAATTCATGCATTTTATAAGCCTTTAAGCAAATTGTGACAAACATAGCAAAAAAAAAATGGGGCTAAGGAACATGACTGCAAACCATCCTCCAGTATATTTAAAATCTGCTTCCTTCCTAATCAACTCATCTCCTTGCAGCAAAAACCTAAACAACATGAATTCACACCTCTCATCATTATGGGAATTGTGTATCTTTAAAAAGCAGTGCTGAAGAGCCTCACAATGACAGCCCCTGAAACACCAGGTACACACTTGTTTAACAAGCACAATGGATGGGTAATGCATGGAAAAACCTCCCTATTCAAGCCACGGTAATAGTGAACTGCTGGGAAGGAAAATGACCACAGGTGGCAAGAAACTAGACTAGGGCTTTATGAAACACCAAGCAACAACAACAACAACAACAAAAAAAATCATTGCAGTGATTGTGCTTTTGCTGCTGCTTCTCGCACTGCTCCCTGTAGCTTTGTGTTTATTTTTAAGTATTGTTATTTAGGGATGTGGGCCCATCCCTCTGTTGCATTTTAAAGTTGAACTTAAAAATAAAGATATGAACGTGACACTGGAATCTGCCCTGACAAACAAATTCACTAACACAGAGTATGAGTTATGAGGCAAAGTCCAGGCACTTGCTGACAGAGCAGACATTTTCCCCACATATCCTTTTTTAATAATGCCCAGTGGCCATAGCTGTGATGCACAGCTGAAGGATCGTTTCTTGGGAGAGATGCTGCCCAGTGATGTCTGTTTCAAGCTGGGTTACCAAGGAAAGCTTTTCACAGAAACAAAAATGGGTTGCATGTATTGTCTGCTGATGCTCATGCAGGGAATAATCTGTTAGATACATTTAATGGGTCTCTAAAGCATCCTAAATATATAGACCATATGCCGCAAAACATGGAAATTATAGTTGAGCAAGTTGTGCTCCCTGTGGTTTTAGCTATTATGGATCCGCTACAAGCTTCTTTTTTTTTTCATTACATTTTTTTTTGTGTGTGGACTAATCTGGACTCATCAGTACCCTTGTGACATACCAAAAGTCCAACAAGTTCATTTGCAAATTAAGGCGTTTTTAATTAAAGACACACTTTCCAGTCCAGATATTTGCAGTCATGGACACTTTCTCCACATGAACCCCCTAAGTGCAGGCTGAATCAGCTTGATTGGGGACAAAGACAAAGCAGCTTCCATGGCCACGGGTGCACGAAGCTATCCAGTATCCTTTGGTGTGAACAGGAGAAATGTGTTGGTTTTCTTTCCTAATGAGAAGATTTGCATCTGGGCTTGAACTGATACAGATTGATCACGCCAGCTGTTGTACTCGGAGGACTATTGCCATGGTATCACAGGCATCAAAGGACAAATTCATGCTAATGTGTCAAGCCCTGTACGTTTAATCTATGCATGTGTTTGCTTTAGTCAGTGGCTCAGAAGCCAGCGTTGCAGGTGGGGATCAGTCTGCCAGGGTTGCCGCCATTTTTTTTCTGAGTCAGAATCAGAATCCTTTAAATTTCCAAGTACAGGCAGAGAAGGCATTTGTCTTGGGCAGGAGAATAACAAAAGAGCAAAAATCAAGATATACATAAGCTAACAAAAATACTCTTATTAATATATAGGGAGAACAGAAAATGAATAGAAAAAAGTATATAATTAGGACACATAAAATAAATAGAATTGACAGGATATTCATTTAACACAGATGTATGGCATCTAAATATTGCAGAATGGAGGGATGTCATTGTCTATGATGGCTCCATCCTGGGGGAAGAATGAATAACTGCAAAGAGTAGCCCTTATTTTTAGAACTCAGAGTCTCTAATGTCTTAGTGACCAGACTGCTAATACCTGATTTGGCCCACCACTCGCCTATGAGCTCCTGTATAGGACTTGTTTGAAGAGCAGATTAGATTTTTGGACCGAGGGGTGTTTGGTGGAGCCTTGGAGATGGACTTTCAGTTGTCCTCAGTAAGACTTTGCAAAACTGGCAGATGGGGCAAGAAGTGTCTTCCTCCAGCTGCTCTCAAAAGGGGTAAAAACATGCTGACCTTATAATATAGAGAACTTTTAAGGAGCTCATGAAGACAACTGACTCTGCCCTTGGTCACACACTCTGGGTAGTGATTGAAACTACAGGACTGCGATTAGAAGTGGCTGAAAAGAGCTCCCTCCCAAGTGTGTCTGGGCTCTCCCTTTAAGATGGGGAAGAGGAGACATTCAAAAGGTACTCATAGCAGAACTCCTTCTCTCTCAAATGGCAAGGAACCGGTTGAGTTTGCTCGGGCATTTAATAAGGATGTCTCTCAAATCTGACTGTGAGGACACCCCAGGCAGATGTAGAGCACAAAGAAATGATACTGCAATCTGGACCCAAATCAGTTTGTCATATTTTTGGGTGACAACTCCCAATCTGCTGCTGCATACATTTTTTTTTAAAGCTATTTTTTTAGCTCTCATGTACAGTGTATGTTTCAAGCACTGCAGGCAGTAAATATTCATCATGATCAGCTCTTACATATCCTCCAAAGAAACAAGCCGCATCCTAACGCTGACCTGTTTTTTTCTTTACAAGGGTCAGTGTTGTCTTTGTTTACTGGATTCCCGATGGTCTCCCCCCCTTTCTCCTCCCTCTGCTTATTTCTTCAGGGCCTACTGCAGTACCTGCCATGTGCTTAAAGAATACAATACCAGCATGTCCAAATAATGCACAGCACTCTCACTGTGCTCCTCAAACAACCACTTCAGTACATTAAGGGATATTATACAAGATCCACAGTCCATCATGTCGTATTGGCAGCATTTGTCTATCTTGGCAGAGCACCATATGTTTTAATCATTTTTATTTAGGCAGATATGCATCAGCTGATCCTATATATTGTCGACTTGTATCTGTACGTGATCATTTATGTAAATGAAGCAAAGTAAAATGTCTCTTTGTTCCTTGAATACACCACAAATAGATTAGATTAGATGAAACTTTAATGAACCCCAGGGGGAAAGTGGGTCATAGCAGCAATAGAGTAGAGAATATACTGCAGGTAAGAGCAAACACAAATGGCTGCTGAAGATACCAGAGGAAAATAACACAACAGGATATATGAAATATGGCAGTAACAGTGAAAATAGCCTACCGAATGTTGACTAGATAGCAATAGATTGAGCCGGTTATTAAAAGGGAGCCACATGTTTACAGTTTATGGATTTAAAGCACAAATGCTGTGTGTGCAGAATGTGCATCACTGCAGATGCGGGACACTAAGCAGGCGGGAATCTGCCAAAGTTTCTGAACGTCTAATGTAAATTATTAATATACTGATCATTTCACAGTCGCAGGTAACCCATTTATAGATGCCCTCCAACCCTCCCAAAATTGCCTTACATAACCAAATTATCACCAATTAGCATTCAGATCTGCTCTTGTGAACCTGCACAGTGCGCCCTTTTCTGCAAGACTGGAGATATTATGCAGAAACGGTCTGGTTGTCAGACACCCCTGGGTGTTCTGAAGGTGGGGGAGTCCCAGGGAAAGAAGAAATGGCGTTGTTTCAGGTTATCTCCTCATTAGGTGCTTTTACACTTAACTTCTTTTCCACTAATTGTCAAAAAGTATCTTAATAATACCTGAATAAAAATGACTTACAGAACCAGCCTCAGTAGAATTAAATGGCAAATCACTCTGATTAATTTCACATGCACATGTATCTTCTATGATATATTCTATTAAATAATATCTATCTCCTATAAGACTTCTATTTATCAGAATTAAGGTTCCTACATTAAAAGAACAACTAGTCACATATATGAAATTATTCTGCTTTTTCCACTTGGACATTCCAATCAGAGCCAGTGTCTGTTTGCTGTCAGAATCTGAAGAGTAGCCTGAGACCCAGAAAACAAAAATCACACATCTCCTGTCACAGAGTACAGCGTGTCTGTGAAACCCACACGATTGCCCACATATCGACATTGAAGCCTTTGTTTCCCTGAGTTGAGTCTATCAGGAGAGCTGATACGCAGTTTGTGCATTGGTCCTTGTCTGCCCCTGGTAAACGCTGCACTCCAATGTATATAAATAGGGGCAATGCAGTGTTGCGATTCAGGCGATGTCTGAAAGCAGCGTAGAGAGAACAACCTGCAAGACCAAGCTCAGGGGGAAAAAACACCAAGCAGTCTGACAGTTCCCTTCACTTTACCCGTGATGCACCGCGGTGTTGCCACTTGTGTTTGATAAACGTTTCATTTAGTTTAAGTTCATGAACATAGATAAATTTGCCGAAATGTTGCTGGCACCCGTAATTACCGAACTATGATTTTAACATTTGAGTGCTATCAAACAGAAAGTAGCACAAACTGAGCGCAGCGGAAGTTCCCGCTGTAGCCTGTAACTAAGGCAACGAGGCATGACGTGACTCGCGGGAGAATAAACGCGAAAACAAACAACTTCAGACCGGTTCATGTTAACTGTGTGACTCCCTGTGATGGTTTCTGAACATGGAAAGGCATAACTTTGAAAAAGAGAGGCTCATAGCACCCACCGACTTCACCTCACCAGCGGTTCCAAGTAAGCTGTTCCTTTTAGCCGAGTTTTTGTTTGACGTTTGCGTGTAACTTTAAGTAAATGTTGACTAGCTAACTTGGCTAATTACTTAACCTGACTTAGCACAATAACTTAGCTGCTCTGCTCTTGTGTTAAGTAATACATAACTACAAGTTGAGGTTGTATTCAGTGGGAGTAAGTTGTCATGTTTAGCTTTCTTGAAAGTTCAGCTTGAGAAACTCCAGGACCTTATGTTAGCATATTACTACACCTAGCTTGACTAGCTAATGCATGCACACATAAATATAATTTTTTGTCATGTAGGGACCTTCCAGGAGGACCTTGTACCTCCTTCGCATTTTGCATCAAGTGTCCAGGCTTCTGCAGCACACAGAGCCGTTCAAATCCCTGTGACAGCGACCTCCATCCCGTGGATAAACTCAGGCGTAACATCAGTGTCATCAGGGGATCCCACTCCTGCCAATCCATGGCTCGCCATCACTCGGGCCCAACAGGAAATCCTCGAGTTAAGGAAGGAAAATCAGAGGATCATGATCCTACAAGAAGGCAGGGCCTCTGCAGATCACCTGTCAGACATTAGGGCAAGGTATCTCCACATTTTTAAAATTTTATATAGTTTTGCAATATAATTTTTTGAATTAAAGCTTCATTTTACTATTTGCAGAGTAATAGATTTGAAAAGTGATGGAACATTGCAACATGAGATAAATGACATGCATGACAGTCACACAAAGAGCACAGCAACAGTTTGTAAAACCACTGACATGACAGTATGAACCCTGGGTCAAACATGCTGCGTAACAAACATCTTAAATTGCAGTCTTTGCGATTTGCTAATTGCATTGCTTCAGATTGCTACTTCAATGTGAAAACAATTGATTGTTCCGCCTTTGTCGGAAATACTATGATTGTCTGCTCAGTTGGGTGGCATTTTGGGCATATTAACAGCTCTTCTTCCCCCGCAAATGCAGATCTACAGAGAGAAGTGAGCAATGGTCTAAATGTGAGTCAGAAAAATACAAGGCAGAAACTGAGAGGTTGAAGGGGCAGGTAGAGGCTCTGAAGGAGACTGCAGCGAGATACAGGGACGAGATGAGAGAGAAAGACACTGCTCTGAACAGGTGGGGGATAGACTCATGCTGTTTTGCAGTCAATTCATTTTATGTTTTGGTTCTCTGTGTAACTTAATATTTCAGAGGCTAGCAGTAAATCATCTTGAATGAGCTTAACGTGGCATAACCTTTGTACAACAGAAACAGCCATGAGCTGGAAGCAGTGCATGAAGAACTGACAAAGGCTAAGACTGAACTCAGCCAAGTCAGAGAGGAGCTCAATCTCAGCAGTGCACAGAAGAAGAAAATAAGCTCACAGGTAATGATGTTTACTGAGAAAACATTTCATTTTGACACTCAAGTAGACAAAGATCACCTGAGACTTACTGGCGTCTTGTAACTCATTTTGGCAGTTTGTAGTCTGATGTTTTTTGTACAGTTTGGTGGTCTTAAAAATAGCTATTAGTCACCTTTAATTTAAAAGTTTCACTATGGCTAGTTTCATAGACAAAGATTCTTTTGTGTTTAATGTTTCTTCTCCTTGCAGCTGGAAAGTCTGAGAGCAGACTCTGGTGAGGAAATTACAAAGCTGAAAAGAGATGTGGAGAGGAGCAAAGAGGAATCCCAGGAGCTTGCTTTAAAGGCAGAAATGGCCAAGTTGCAGGGTGAAGAGGAGCACAAACAGCAGACACTTAGACTGTTAGAACAACTGGAGGAAACGCAGAAGAAACAGGACGTGGAGGTACAATACTTGCAAGTAACTTTAAACCTTTCTAAACCTTGTACATACAGATTTGGTTGACCTCCTGTTTGCTCAAGGTCCTGCATCTGAGAACGCATATCAGCAGGCATCAATTCTGCTGAAGTATTCCTGAGCACAACACTGAGCAAGGTCAGACTGTTCACTCTGACCTTCCTCAGGAGTGACGCAAGTGAAGTGAAAATGTCTCCTTGGGATCAATAAGGTGTTACATCATTATTTGTGCATGCCGTAAAATTTCCATTGTTTGCCTCTGTGTTCACTTTCAGCTGCAACGGTTGAATGCATCCCATTGTTCAGAGTTGGATGCAGCAAGAAATACAAACAAGCAACTACAGGACAGACTTCAATCAATGACCTCAGAAGTGCTGCAGCTAAAAAGCAATCTGAAGGAGGCATCTACTGAGAGAGATGGGCTGAAAGAGCATTTAAGGTGCCACATTCAATCTAAAATTGAAGAGAGCTAAGCATCTAAAGCACTTTGTAGTCAGATTCACTGATTTTTTTGTGAGGATGTTGTTTATTTTTCAGCCAAATGGGACAAGCTTTTGAGACACAATCTGCAACACTGCACAGCCTCAGAAATTACATTGGCCAGCTTGCCCCGGAGAAAGGAGAGAAGGAACGATTAAATGAAGTTGTTGAGGTGGAGATGATATAAACAGTATTGATTATAATGAAACTCCTGTAAAGTAATTGCATGAAACTATTAAATGTTCTTTTTGCTAGACTAAAGCAAGAACAGTTAAGAAAATAATTAATACATTTCTAAATTAATGTGCGTATTATAGGCACTCACCCCATTGCGTGTAAATTTAATTTTAATCTTGTACATTTTATAGAGGCTGAACAAAGAGAAAGCAGCTCTTCAGACGACCGCAGAGCTTTTGACAGTCAGGTTTAACTCTGTAAATGAGATACTTGCCCTCCAAGAAGAGAAAATGGTGAAGAAGGTGAGTGTTTTGTCGTCGCATACCAATGATAATGTATAATGAACAGCAGCGCTGCTTCTTGCAGGCTAAGCCACTGATTTCTGGTGAAGACCAAGCAGCTTTCTATTTTTGTATGTTGCTGGCTTTAGGTTGTAAAGGTTTCAAGTGTTGTCAGATCTCAAAAATATGGAAAAAAAAACTGTGAGGAGTAAATTTACCTCATTTTCACACTTAAAATTAACATTTTCCAAAATGTGCGACACTGGATTTAAGACTGATAATGGAACAGCACAAGACAAGATGGCAACGCTCTAATTAATTCAGCTGGCTAAACACTTCAGCTGCCTTATTTACATGTGTATATACAGAATGACTCTGCTAGTGACATGTCAAACATTTCTCACCTTTGTATGCCCTTTTCTTACTTTTTAAGTACATTTTCTCTAGTTTAGAAAGATGTAGCAGAGCCTGGACATTTTTTTCAGATAGGAATTTATCACAGTAAACAACTTACATTCTTGAGTTTTCCGTTGGAGGTTACGTGGCTGTTGTGGAACGAAGCTTTTTAAAGCAAAACACTTTTAATACAAACCTTTTGTGACACTATGTCAATATACAACACTGTTCAAATGTTTAAGGCACTTGTAGATGTGTAGATTGTTATCCATCATCCAAAGTCGTCAAGAATGGGCTGGTCAATTCCAAATCATTTTGCAACCAGCGCAGGAAGAAGTATTCCGATAATTTACTGAAGTAAAAGTATCAATACAGCAATGTGAAAATATTCAATTACACGTAACAGTCTTACATGAAAGTCCCTGTTTCAGGAAAAGTACATAGAAATGTAGTTAAAGTATTAAAGTATAAGTGGTGGTTTGGTCCCTATGATTGATGATGCAGTATTATATGACATTAATAGATTATCAGTAGTGAATCATCAGCATGCCGGCAGCATAATACTGTTGTAGCTGCTGCAGGTGCCTAGTCTGAACACTAATTACATCTTAGAGGTTTTACATGACTAATAGGAGCTTAAGAAAGAAGAAACAAAAGCTTTGATGCACAAATATGCTTTCAGACTGTTTTCTAATAATCACATTTTGGTGAGATATTGAATCACTTGAACATTTATTGAAATGAAACCAAGTAAGAAGTTTGGCAGGAAAAATCACAATCAGCTTCTAGGCATCTTAAATGTGACCTCGACAACACAATGGTTTTGTCAGATGTCAGAAGCCAAAAAGGTTGAAAATTGCGGTTTTAATCTTAAAAAATGTGTTGCATTTTAAAAGCATCTGTGCAAGACCTTTATCTTATAAGTAGCTAAAGTTGTCAGATAGTGGAGAAGAAAGTACAATATTCCCCTGTGAAATGGAAGTAGCATGAAAAGGAAATGGTCAAATACAAGTATTTTGAAATTGTACAGAACTTGAGTAAATGTGCTGAGTTACTTTCCACTGTTGTCTGCTTAATGAGAGTGTGGACCCAAACATACAGCCAGAGTCATGAAGAGCTGTCTCCAGTGACAAACTTCTCCACAGAGTGCTGAACGCAACATCACTGAGACAGTATGGGGTTATGTGAGGAGGCAGAAGTAACTAAGAGAACCTCAATCCCCAGAAGAAATGTGACAAGTTCTCCAAGACGCTTGGAACAGCCTACCATCTACCTTTAAAAAACAGTCCAATAATGTGCTTCTAATCTTTTTACAGTCCTCTCTATGAAGTTACATGATTTAAGAAAACTATTCATGGCGTTAAATTTGAAAGCTTTACTTTTATTTTCTAAATCTTTGCACAGCACTGGACTTCTGGAATGAGAGGGAGAAAACACTCATTATTTATAAAGAGATCTAGTTTGCTTTAGAAATCATCAAGGTTAGTTTTTAATCTAAAATAATTATTTATGCTTATATAAAGCATCGCGTGTGTGCGTGTGTGTGTGTGTGTTTCAATAGTGCTCGACTGATCCACTTGTGAAGAATGGTTCTGAAGGCCTTCAAGTGCTTCAGCTGTGGAGAGAGAAAGTGTTCAAGTTATGCGTCCAACTTCGCTCTAAGGACATTGAACTGAGAGGAGAGAAGGATAAACTTCTTTCAAAAGTATGTGGGTAGTCTGTTATTATACTATAGTACAATCAAAACCCTTGTGTTTGAAACTGTGTTTAAAGTGCAATACTGTGTTGATCTGTGTTTTAGGTCAGATCCACAGAGCAGCAGCTCCAGCAGGAGCAGCACCGCGCTAATGTGCTCCAACACAGTCTGCATGACAGGATAGCTGAGCTGGACCTGGAGAGAGTGGAAAAGGAGGTTAGTACCGGAGCAACGCATGTGATTTACGTGGCTGTCTCAAATTTTGATGATGCACAATAAACTTGGGTCCGCTTAGGGAAGTGACAAACGTTGGTGCATTTTTACCAGAGCAGATGATGCTGACTACATGAAATTTTGCTAGCTTCTCAGAGCTGTTGAGGTTGTAAGAACAACAGCTGGGGAAATATTCTCAAAACTGAGCATCACAGTAAAATCAGTAAGACACTGCACTAACTAGAAGTGTGTTTTTCTTCCTAGACGTTAAAACAGGACTTGGCCAAGGTTCACAAGGAGAACGCTCAGCTGAAGTCACAGAGCCAGAGAGCAGAGGCTGAACTTAAAACCTTGACAGAGGCAGTGCATAGGTAAAACACATTTATTTCAACTTAAAAGGGACAGAATTAGTTGGTGAATTAAAGGCATAGAAGGAGAAAGGACTACAACTCGTCAGTGTTTCATCACAGACAATAGTCATACATTTACATTTCGGCTGTGCCTTACAGGTTCAGTCATGGATTTCAAAGCAAGGCGGCAGAAGTGGACGCAGCTAAAGCAAGACTCAACACTTTCACCCAGCGGCTAACTTTTGCTAAAAGACGTGTGGAGACTATCCAAGGTACAGATAGGCTGGAGGTTAATATGCTGACAGTACTGCTTGAGTTTAAACTACATGTATGTGGTAAAGAATGTGTGTCACTGTGGTTTTTTTTTTACAGGTTTGGTCATGAGGAGGGCAGCTCTGCAGAAAGTTGAGCAGGCCTGTAAACAGGCAGAACCAACTGTTGACAGGTACAGTTTTAGGTTTCAAAATTTTTACAAAACATTTCTACAAAACTGAGGTTGAAAATAGGACTGGATGATGTGGCTGAAATCAATGTTGTGATATTAGTACAGATGTTTTTCTAGTATACTGTGTTCACATATCATATTGTGACAACTGCATACAGTATCAGGGGATTCTAAGTCATGTAAAAAGTCACTTTCAGGCTGTTTGGCATACTGTGTTGTATGACATTCAGATGTTTCTCTACCTCTCTACTTCGCTTTCTGCTCCTTTATTTGCTCTGCCATCTTGTCTATGTTGACCTGCAGCATCAGAAACCTTGAGATGGAGCACAGTTTGGTGTGTGAAGAGAGAGAAAGACTCACTCAAGAGCTCAAAAGAACCCCAGAGCTCATCGAGAAAGCTCTGGCTAATCTGAAAGAACAATGTGAGACTTACAGATCACAACACCTATTATGACACATTATGTGTTTATTGTGCATTCACATTTTGGCAGTGTCTGTGTCTTGGTTCACGTTGTACATCCTCCACAGACCAAAGTAAATCTAGGCAGCAGCAGCAGGAGCTGCAGCAGAGCTTGGTGGAGGTCCAGCAGGCTGTAGCTGCTAGAGAAAAGGCTGAGCAGAGCCTACAGCAGATCCAGGCCCAGCTGGAGGAAAGAAATGTCAACCTGGAGAAACTACGCTGTGAGCTGCTCAGCCAGCAGGAGCAGAGTGAGCAGGGTGAGGCGTGAGAAAGAACCTTCATCTGCTCATATTCACACTTGTGAACAGTCTGCTAATCATGTGTCGATAGCTTCATCGGAGCAGTTTGGGATTTGCTGACATCCTCAATAGGACTTTGACTGTAGTTGTTCAGGGCCCGTTACTGAGTCTCTATATTAAAATTTTCCCAGCTGGTATAAACATTAAACTTAGTCAGATCGGAGGCTTAGCTATAAAGCTGCATTAAAGACTTCAAATAAATGTCTGGCACCTGCATGTACACTGAAACAAGACGTGCTTGCTGCTATCATTCCTCCTGTTCAGACTATTGATTTTGTCGCCCGTCACTTACATTGTTTGTCCTTTAGGAATTACTCTTTATCTGATGTTCAGTAGATATTGGAAGAACAATTAAAGCAAGAAGACAAATCTGTTTTAATGTTCATCCAGGCACTTGGCTATTTTTTAACCAAATTATGAGCCTTTCCTTTTACTGATTCTTTTTCTGCCCGCTGGGTACAGAATTAAGTTCTTAACTAAACACTGTCACCTTTTAAGTTTGCAGCCTTGTTATCAAACCCTTGTTTCATCCAGCAGCTACAGAGCAACATTAGCGTTTATTTTCTAGCAAAGTGAGTGATTTGTCAGATGTAATTATTGTCATGTTTGTGTTCACTTGATTGAGTTAAGTCCGATAGTGTCTCTTGTTTAGCTGTGTTTTGTTTTCCCACCTGTTCTCTTTCACTGCTAAATGATCCACCGTTTTCACTAAGTAGCCAAGTTTTCTCTGTCTGCCATTTGGTGCTGGACATGTACTATATAATCTGTGTTTCAGAGACGACAACAGCTGTGTGCTTTGTCTGAAAGCAAACAATGGTGTGCGAGCAGTGAGGGCTAGTGGTAAATTAGCAACTTGACCACCTCTTTCCCAATTCATAAACACAAACGTTGTGGTGTGGTTGGTGTTGATTATAGCATCTTGAATGATAGAGACAGCAAATTGACACAGTTGATTTATTTTCCTTCAAATACCAGGTCTTGTTGCTACACCTCTCTGTCTTAGCTGAAACAAAAGATTGAAAAGTGTTTGCTATAATTTAAAAACCATATAGAAATGCTTTTCCTCGACCTTTAGCCTCCTGCCACCTTGCTGTGTAGCAGCCTGTTATGCTGCTTATGAAAATTTGCTAACAGGTGCAGTGACATCCAGTATATCCCCTGAGGTACATACAAATACAGCATTAGAGTCAGTGTTACTCAGTGTGTGAGATGCTATATTGAGGGGTGGTGCATTTGTTGTTCCCTTTCAGCCCTGCAGGACAGAGTGTCTGAGATTGAGGACCAGTGTGCTGAGAAGCTGAGAGAGATGGAGGTTCAAGTCAATACAGCCAGGAGAGAGCACACCAAAGCAGGTAGTAGGATTAGCACCATGCTGCCTCAGCCCACAGCAGCTTAGCATAGAGGGATGAAGTCGTTTTTTTTTTAATGCAGACTGTGATCTAATATTATTCAAACTGTTTACACGGTATATAGCATGTCTCTGTGGCTTTGGATCTGTCTGCATTGTCTCTTGCAGTTATGACTTTGCGTCAGTTTGAGAGAGAGGCAGCAAGAAAACAGGATGAGACGAAAGAAACTCAGCATTCGGAGAGCGAAAACACAAAGAGGGATCTCCTCAGTAAACAACTGAAGAGGACAGAGATGGACAAAAGTCGACTGCCGGTAAAACTTTTTAAAGCAAAACACAGTTGTGGAAATTTTTGTTTTCTGTGTCCTTTGACCTGAATCTGTTCCAGGTCACCGTTGATGAGAGAGGGCTGATGAGAGAGTACACAAGGTCTCACAGAACAGCTGCTCCCCGGAAACAGAATCCTTCAGACAGGAGTTGCTCTATAGGAGCAAAGGTCCAACTACCTGCAGATGGTAAGAAACGTCTAAACTCTGCATGCGTCAGACACTTTATTTTAAGTCCTAACATTTACACAAGCGTGACTGATCTGACCAATGGCCTGTCTGTATTCTGTCAGAGAGACTCCTGTGTGTTTTGGAGGAGCTCCATACTCTCAGTGCTGCAGTGGCAAACAGCTCTGAGGACTCTGCGGAGGAGGAGGGACAGAGTGACAGCGTGGGACCATCCGCAGGAAGTCTGCACAGCTGATACCTGAGGATGAGTCACTGAAGCCACTGAACACACCTTGAATTTGTACAAAAGGTGGGCGGTGTATTGCTTCAGGAGCAAAAGAAATACAGCTACAAGAAACTATTTGATGAAGCTAAACATTGGAAATCCATGCATGTCGCATTGCCACTAAATGTAGAACAAGAATAAGAGCTATCTGGTGCAGGCACAGTATGCATACAGTTACCACCAATATAAATTTTGCATCTTTCTCCAGAATTACATGTATTTGCTGTTAATACTGGAAATACATTACTCCGTTGCCAATTTAAGAGGCGCAAATATACATGAAATCTACACAAACACAGGGTCAAATGAAAGGTTTTATTACTGCACCAGTAAGACTTTGTTCTGCACTTGTCTTAAATTCTATTTCTCATCAAATTGGTAAAAGAATATTTTGAATTGTGTCCATTCAACTGATGAATCCTAAAGCTGAAGCTCACATTGTTGTGTGCACTGCATTGCTTTTATAATTTAATACGTTTTTTTGGAGCAGTGTAGCATATAATGAAACTGATGCAGCACAGAAGCTTTGCACAAAACAGAAGACAGCCATCCTTTAAAGCCTCTCGGATCAGTGGTTTAACCCCTAAAACTAATCTCTTTCTATCAAAATTAAATATTTAGAAGTTTGTTCTATAAAAATAATCCCTGCATGCTTTAAAATGGCTTCGATGTAACTGCACACCACTGCTTTCTTCAGAATGTGCACATCCAAGAAGTCCTCACTTCTGTTGCCACCCGCCCTTCCACCTTTACTGCAGCTCAAGCACACCAGCTCACCTACAGCTCTGCTCAAACCCTGAAACCACTCTGTGCTACACGATGACAAGTTGGAGTAATTCAGCCATACATGTTTGAACCAGAAATCAATTCTGAAGAAGAATAATGATACAACATGTTCCACCTTGAAAGTCTGAGTCTGTTTTTTTGACACTGTCATTGGCACACTGTGGTTTTATGGTAGAAATGCTAAGTCCTGCCATCTACTGCACATTTTGCTTATGACGTATCTTACAGCATTTGAAAAAACAATATATTGGCAAGTTAACAAGGTAAAATAACTCAATTTTGCCTGGAGGGGATTTTTTTTAACCATAAAACTATAATCATGAAAATGAAAAGAGGGGTTAGCCATCAACTCATTAACATTCAAGTTTAAACTGAAATTAACATGCAGCAAACACTGTTTCCCCCTCACCATTAATTGTTCCCAGCATGTGTTCACATGACGACATCTTAATCATTTTATCAGTTCATTTTTTTCACAGTGGGGCATCTGGAAATCTTCTAATTTTGCAATGTAAGTGTTGCAGCTGTGATAAGGCCACTTTTAAAGTGCTAAATTTGTTATTTTGTGTGTGCAACATTTTTTAAAAAAAACAATATTTTTTCTGTTACTGCAAATACGATAGTAGAACGTACATTATGAAAGATACACAGCAAATATGTTACTACTTTTGTCAGTGCCAGTAAGCTTTTTATCAGATAGCAAAGAGAAGCCTGCCTGATAAACACAGATTAGATGTAGTTCTTGTTCTGCTCATCTGTAGAGTTCAAGTTTATGTGACGGTCAAAGTTTTTCTATGCTATGCAGAGATTAGTGACTTGTTTTTTTATTGCATCCTACAATAAAGCATATATATATTTTTAATCTGTTTGTTTTTTAACTTACTATTCTGAAAAATAGTAAATCTCAGTCTTCTATTATTAGTAGTGCAGTAAAAGACAATATAAAGAAGAGCAACTAGCATCTGTTGTCAGTATTTTAAAATAAGTTCAGTTAAACTAAAATAAGATTTGCATGAAGAATCTTTAACCATACACAGGTTTCTGTAGTCAGCTGAGAATGCTAAATCTGTAAAGCAGGTTTTAATGTGATTGGTGCATCTGCCATGTTTCTCTTTATATTATATGAACAAGTGAGAAGATCCATAAGATTTTATATTACAAAAAAATCAATACTTTCTATTTGAAGCTCCTTTATAGGGGTCAGTTTTAAAATGACTTTGCGCTCATAGGATTGATGATGATAAACACCATGATGAACCAGATAATTGTGCTATTTGTCATGTTGTCGTGAGTGCTAATAAATTTTGCAGCAGTTCAAAGTTTCGAGCCTCTAGGTAAAAACGCCTCACGGAGAACCGAGGGAGAGTGAAAAATACTAATAAAGTCTTGACTTTTCTGCTCTATTTTCTAAGACCATCAAAAAGAATTTGCAGGGACACACTCATTGCTGGAGAGGTGATTCATCACGGCGTGCACAGGATGAACGCGCCAAATTAAAGTTTTAAAAAGAATATTGTTGGTTTTCTGCTGAGTGGTCCTGCTGATATTTGGTGCCCTAGAACTGGTAAAACCGTATATAAGGTAAGAGAACATTTTAGTTTGTGTTCTCTAGTATACCTATGATACAGAAATCCCTTTGGCGACTTATGACACTGTGTCTAAAGTTTAAACTTTTTCATCATCATCACTCCTTTTCTGTTCGTTCGTTGTTTTTGGGACGTGTATTTTAGATTGCATCATGCATTAGTTGGTCAGTTAGCTGGTTTTGGCTGTTCTCCTTTTGAAAAATCTCTTTATGTTTGTGGCAACTGTCAGATGAATTCAATCACAGCAGGAGAAGACATTACAGTTACTGACAAACATTCAACCCCAAAATGCTCCACGACAACTTCACCAACAATCAAGACAACAAAATGCAAACTGATACACATGAACGGAGCTAGACTGGAGGGTATGAAGGATCTCTGGCAGCATTCACCTCATCCTGATGGTCACAACTCATATTCAACACAGAGGGGGTGTCTTTCATGTCATATTTACTGTAATATTAACGATTCTGAGACAATGTTAGCAAAACTCTCAGTAGGTCTGATGCAAGAGATGAAAAAAAAAAAAATCTTGTGTTTACATGCATTCAAAACACCAGCAGAGGGCGATGTTGTCAAAGCTGAGAGCAGCACAGATGGATATTTCCAACAGTTTTTGAGCTACGCTTTGTAAAGTGTAGCTTTGTCATTGGAATAATAGTGGAATACAGTGTTAAGAGAATTTCTATAGGTTATACCGGCATATGTTATTTGCAACTTAAATAGGGAAGTGACTTGAAGCAGATATGTGCACATGTAGTCCAAAGGATTCTACTGTCTATTAGGACTGAATCCTTAAATCAACATCAACAAAACACCTGTCCATAATTCTTTAATACTGTAAAGTGTTTCTCAACAAACATTAAGAATTTTTGTGAGAAACTTTCAGAAAAATACTGCAATATATTTGCTCTTTCATTTGAGTGGGACAAAAATGGACGTTACCATAAACAGTCCAAATAAATATATTTATAGGTCTAAGAGAGAGAGACAGAGCAGCACAGGAGCCAGACAACTCAGTGATTAACTGATGAATAATTTAGCAGACCACTGCAATCCATACAAGAAATGAAATAAATTAGGTAATAAAAACCAATCAATAAGCTCCAGTTGGAATTTATTAACAATTCAGAATTAATGGCACGCCAAATAACAGAGTGACTGCCAGCTGATTTGTATTTACAGTATGCTGTTGTCATGTTTGCAGAAACATTACCACTGACCTTAAACCACTCCCTGTGACACCTGCTTCGCTCGCTGATGTTTTTATCGATAGGTTGCACGGTGCTGTTGTGTGTTTGTGTGCGAGCCGTCCTCCCTCTGGTTCTGAGGCTGATACTGTGCTGTCAGAGTGCACCGTGTCAAATCAGAACATCTGCTGTCATTGGCCCTGCCTGTCAGCAAGTGTCTGTGTCAAGGCTCAGTCCTACACTTCTGTTTCTGGAACAGACGAATCCCCCAAACCTGCAGGTTCATCCAGCCGCTCGGGCTTTGTGGAGAGACTTTAGTGAGTGGTGATGATTTATGCTCAAGGAGTGATTAATGGCATTATTATTGCTAAACTTTGTATTAAATATTTATGATGCAACACACAGAAACTAATGGTTTTCTTCAGAGAGGAAAGAGAGTCTGATAATACTCATGACATTGAGAAATGTCTGTAAATGTTCGACCAGCTTCCTACTGATGTTGATGTAATATTTAGGGCACAAATATAGGACACTGTACACAACTTGTTGCTTTTCTCCATCAGCTTTTCAGGTTTCCTTTCTGTCTTTCTCATCCAGCAAACCCCTTTTTTTCCTGCATTGCTAGCTTAACTATAGCCAAAGTCAAACTTCACGTCTTAAGTGTTGAGAAAACTTGCAATTGCACAGCCTGCAATACATCCTGTCACACTTTGCCAAACGTCCCCAAAGTGGAGTCCTCCTGGGGACAGTCCTCATTCAAGTTTGCTACAGCCAGTGACTGGAATAAGCCGCAAAAATCCTTAAAACCGGTCAATTTGTACCACTGTATAGTCTCTCAAGGACATTGCAGCCCTTCCTCAAAAAATGTAGAACATTTGCTACAGCTAATATTTAATAACTTGTAAACTGTGTGCTCTCAAACACTAACTCCTGCACTGTTGTTTTTAGATTAGAGGATTACAGGCAACAAAAAACACACCTCTTACTTAGTCCTCTCATGAAGATAGCATTTTGGATTTGACATTAAAATGTGTCAAACAAACACGTCTAACAAGCAGCGCTGCGGTTAATCCACTCTCGTATTCCATATCTTTGCAAAAGTTCTCGCAGGCCGGAGGTCAGAGCGAACTGGAAGCAACGTCTGAGCTTGACGTGATCCAGTAAGTCAGCGGTGTCGACCACCAGAGCTGCATGCCGCATAAGAGCCCGGCTGATGGTTGTGCAATGCTGTGGCAGGCCATGCTACAGGGTAGAACAGCAGCCACGGAGGAGCAGCGTGAGGAAAGACAGCCAAGTAACCCTATTTATAGATGCAGGCAATGTGGGGCATTGTTTGGGGGGGCTGCAGTGGACTGAAATGTTCAAATTACAGCTTTATGCTGTTTTACTGTAGGCATAATAAATGAGAGTTTTATTATTTTTGCTTTGGTGTCTTTGTGCTGCAGAAGCTGCTGACCTCTGGGCACTGACCAAAATAAATGATGGACTAAAAATACTGTTGCACTCAGGGTGCTGACTAAGAGCACTGTTAATATTTATCTTAGAAGAAAGCTCCAACTAGAAAAACTTCACAAATAGCACAGTTATTAATACAACATTATCTTACTTAGCAGCCTGTGTTTTAAGCTGAGAAATCAAGCAATCGGCAACATTTCAGATCAACAGAAAAAAGAGCTTGAGGCTGTAAATGTAGAAAAGTGGTATTCGACATATGGCTACTATTCGAAGCGAGCGGTAAACACGGTGTCACCGATGCATGATAAGTCTCCACCTGTGCCAATCAGGCGCCTTGTTTCGAGCTGTAATTGCAGTTTCCCTTTGGGGTGATCAGTGTAATTTGGTACGCAGCGGTGAGAAGTCGATGGCGTTCACTAGATGCACGAATGAACAAACAAATGGAAAGGATAGCATCACCTTTTGTTATTACCACAGGGCAAGCTATGAAGAACCAGCTCTCATCCTGCCTGTGTTTTACCTCCTTCTAGCGATAAAAAAGAAAGATAACAGTGCAATCATCATGTTAAAATTTAGATTTGTGACTCATCTGAAAGTAGCAGCGTAGCACATCAGTCTGGGTGCAAACACACTTTTTAAATTTGATGTCAAGAGTAGCACCTGCCTAATAACCAGAACTCAGGTTCTTTCAAACAATAAGCTGCCAAAGTTTCAATGAAGGCCTGGTTACATAAGATCTGAGTTGATGTGATAACCCTTGAAAAACTCTTGAAAAACTGCCTGTTTTAGAACAGATTTTCTTGAATAGAGAAAGTAGAAAGACTGAATTCCTCTGTCTAAATAGAACATTTTTAGTCAGCAGCATATTTTGGATCCAGTTCATCAGTCGTCACTGTCTAACATCTCCGTCAGTGATGCCTCCTGTTCAGTTAACACTGTGTACATGTGTACCACGCTAAGTGTCTAATAACCATTTAAAAAATTCAACCGTTTCTTTGTTTCTCTGTGGTTTTATCATTGTGAAGTGTTGGCAGTAACCATTACTTTCAAAGAGTGCTTTTCTACTGAATAAGATTGCTTCTCCTGGCAGGACTTGCTTTAGGACAATGAAAAAAAAAACCACACACTTTTGAGCCATATTCACAATTTCTTCTCTGAAAATTCTAATTTAATATTTGACTTTGCAGTAAAATGTCAGATTTTCAAATATCCTGTTTAAGAAGTTTACTCCACAGTTTCAAAGCCGGGGTGAACTAAGGGGAACATGAACGGAAAGTCAGCCAAAGGGCAGAAAGTCCAATGTTAGCTTTGTCCTTCGAAACATCTGCTGTCAAGATTTCATCGGGCGGAAAAAGAGACGAGGATGTTTGAGAAAAACAGAACATTGATAAGTAAAATTGCCAGGCTAATTTGTTTTGTTCTCCGAGCGCTTTGCCTGTGGGATATTCAGCGAAAGATGTGGGAATCTTTAATCAAATTTCCATTAATATTCGTCTGTGCTGCTGCACCTTAACTCCCTCTGGTTACCAACATGCTGTTCAAATAAGGCTTCCTAATTACCCGATTTTTTAGACTTTCGTTTCATCATTTTCTTCGTTTGTGAGCAACCTGTTCTATAAAATACAATTTTG